TCATGCCCTAACACAAGAAAATCAGTCACAGGCTTTCTTTTTAAGCATGGAAATTCTCTCATATCTTGGAAATCAAAGAAACAAAACACAGTCTCGAGAAGCTCAGCAGAAGTTGAATACAAGAGCATGGCATGGACAGTAGTAGAACTCGTTTGGTTAACTGGGTTGTTCAAGGTGCTTGGTGCAGAAGTGAAGCTGCTAGTTGAATTATTCTATGATAACAAAACAACACTTCAAATTGCTGTGAATCAAGTATATCACGAAAGAACATAACATATCGAAATAGATGGTCATTATATCAAGAAAAAGATAAAGCAAGAATTGGTGCAAACAATGTATGTGAGTTCCAATGAGCAGCAGGCAGATATCTTGACAAATGGGCTGCTGAGATTGAAGCATGAGTACTTGATGTCCAAGCTGGGAGTGCTCAACATTTTCACCTACTAGCTTGAGGGGGAGTGTTCGAGATGGAGTAACTTGAAGCTACTTTGGGAACCAGTGTTAAGCAATAGCAGTTAGACGTTAAACTAGAGTTAGTTATGTAACGAATAATTCGAAGGTTAACTAGTTAGTTAGTGGTAGTTTTGGACAGCTGTCAATTAGTTGTAGAGATTTGTTACTTGTATAAATAAACGATTAAATCAATGAAAAGATTAACTCCTTCATTCTCATTTTCGTTCAGTTATCATTGTTTCACAGAAGCTCTTTTCCTCTCAACCTCCATTGAAGTAGAATAGGAAGCTCAAGCTAAGCATAAGCTGAATGTGCAGAAATTAACATATTAGACAAGTAAAAATGAATGAAAGGAGTAGCATAATTTTTTTTTATTTTTTTTTGCTTTTCCCTAAAGTAGCTTCTTTTCAATTTATAGTCTTAGAAGTTATTATAAAAGTGTTGGGGGAGGAGGAAAAAGTAAGGAAAACTACCAGCTATGTCCATTTATAAGTAGCTTGTTACAAAAATTGGCCAATTCATAAATATTATTAATACTAATCAAATATTATCAATATTAGCCAATTAACTAGTTGTAGCCAAAAAAGATCAAATATTTGCTTTCTTGAGTGTTATTAGAATAGATTGGGTACATCTTAAAGAGCTTGAAACTCAATTTTGGGATGATTTGGTGGAGTTTTGAGATGGTTTGAATTGAAAATTCGAAGTAGAAGTTGAACATGAAAAAAATAAATTATTTATTGTGTATCACGTAAGTATCATATTTGTATCAAATGTGTATCACATGTATATCCATGTATACCTGTGTGTGAGATACATGCGTGATACATGTGTCGCAGAAGAATTTTTGAACTCAATTTTAACTACGAATTTTCATGCCAAATCGGTCCAAATCACCTCCAATCTTCATCAAATTTTGTATATTGACTCATCTATGTGTTTTCAATGAATTTCAATCACACCCATTGAAAAGGACCTTTTTTGCTTAGATTTTTGGAATCTTATATCTATATTTTTTTTATATTTCATCACCTTATTTGATACTTTATCCATGAAATTTCATTTCCTCTTGCATCTAATGTTGCTAATCACACTTAAAAATATGGAAGGAGATCTTTGCGTGTGATGCTTGGAGAAAAAAAACCTCATTTATTTGGAATTTTAATTTTTATATGTGCTTGACGAGTTTTGGTAAGTTTATGATTAATGGCTAGAGATTAGTAAATTGAGACTTACTCCTTCCGTTCCAGTTTATGTGAACTTATTTCTTTTTTGGTCCAATCCAAAAGAATGATCCCTTTTTAAATTTGGAAGCAATTTAGCTTAAACTTACAATTCTACCCTTAATGAAAAGCTTTTATAACCACACAAATACTCTGGGCCCCTTTTTAACTTGTTTAGGATCACAAATTTCAAAAGTCTTCATTTTTTCTTAAACTCCGTGCCCAGTTAAACAGGTTCACATAAATTGAACCAGAGGGAGTAACATTTATGTAAGATTCCCAAGAAGTAATGATACACGTGATCAGTCAGCATCACATAATTGTCCTTTTGACCTTTCAATGCATGTGAAAACGGAACTTGGAAGGTTTGTATTTTGGGATAACGAACAAAATATAACTCATGCTATTACTAGTATACATGATTAATTTTTTCTAAATAAGAAAAGGACTAAACGACTTATCACAGTGGCTGAGTGGAGTACTCTCGTTCAAACGGAATAAATAAGAGATATAGCTAGTACATTCTCCATTTAAGTTTATCTGATACTACTTTTTTTTATTACTTCGTTTCGAACAGAATAACACATATTTATGTTTGTAATAATTTAAATTAAACTTTTAATGAGAATTTTTTGTAACTACATAAATATTATGACATATTTAAAATTACAAGTTTCAAGTCTTTTACTTTTTTTTCTTGAACTCTAATGCCGAGTCAAATTACATCGCATAAAATTGAAACAAATGAAGTACTCCTTCTGTTCCAGTTTACGTGAACCTATTTCCTTTTTGGTCCATTCCAAAAAGAATGACCTCTTTCTAAATTTAGTAACAATTTAGCTTAAACTTACAATTCTACCCTTAATGAGGAGCTTTTATAACGACACAAATACTCTGGCCCCTTTTTGACTTGTTCAGGACCACAAATTCCAAGTCTCCATTTTTTCTTAAACCCCGTGCCCAGTTAAACAGGTTCACATAAATTGCAACGGAGGGAGTAATAAATTGTAGTACATGCATGCATGTACATACAAATCAATGGAATTAAAAGATAGTTGTATTCGTAAAAATTGCACAGAGTGCCCTATTTGGTTGCCCCCATTTAACCTATACCCATTTTTTTAAAAACTTTTAACTTGTACCCACTTTTTAAACAACTTCAGCCCCCTTTCTCCTCCTCCTTCTCCCAGTGATCTCCATATCTTTCCGGAACTTAACATTGATGTAACAATATCTCTCCTTATGTGGCTTCACTCAATTCCTCAGAAGCCATCTTACTATACATAATTAAAATAATTATAACGTAAGAAAACCTTTTTGTGATATGGTTGATGTGCTCAAAAGTACCAGTTGTTGGTTCTTCTATGCCATTTTCCTCTGGTTCTGCAAATTTCTATGGTGTTTGTTTCAAAAATTGTAAACCAGTAAGTTAGAATTTGGATTTTGCTCATGTTCTCTTATTGATTTTTAAATTTTATTTGTGATACCAGATTTGAGAAATGGCTTGCCGTATGCAAAGTGCAAGGAAATCTTGAGCAGTACATAGAAAGGTCAATCTTCCTCCCCAAAAAATAGAAACTTCAGAAGTACATACTCAAGGGTTTTAAAAGAGCTGAAGTTCGACAGTTACAAAACAAAAACTTCAGCTCTAGAGATGAAGTTCGACAGTTACAGAGCTGAAGTTCGACAGTTACAGAGCTGAAGTTCGCCAGTTACAAACAAAAACTTCAGCTCTAAAGCTGAAGTTCGCCAGTTATAAATAAAAACTTCAGCTCTAGAGCTGAAGTTCGCCAGTTACAAACAAAAACTTTAGCTCTAGAGCTGAAGTTCGCCAGTTGCAAAACAAAAACTTCAGCGTTCGCAAGTTGCAAAACAAAAACTTCAGCTCTAGAGATGAACTTCAGGCCCGGCTACTAGAATGCTGAAGTTTTGTGTGATTGCCTTTGCTACTTCAGCGCCGTATGCTGAAGTTTTGCGAAAAAACGGGTACGCTTGCAATTTTTTTTTGTAAAGCGGGCACAAATTAAAACGTGACACAAAAAGCAGGTATAAATGAAAATGGCCCGTTGTATTCACGTCTCTTCCATCAACAAGTTAATAAGTTACTGTGACGGACTGAAGGTGAAATTGGGCCCTACATGAATTAGATCTTCACCTTTTTTATGAGCTGTATTTGTACTAATATTTGAGTGAAACTAAGCTGACGTAAAAGAATTATTTTGATATATGACTTGTTCCAAAGCTATGATCATCATATTGTCGTTATACATGATTGCATATGGTTGGATTGAAGTAGAGGGTAAGGAAGTTACAACCACTTCATAATTCCCAGCTTAAACAGCCCCACATAACAGCACCTTTATTTTTTGCAGTGGTAATTAACATTTACTTCAGCTACATCTTTATGACTTTCTAGTGACATTTCTTTACCTACTTTTGTTCCGAGATAATTTTTAATGCATAAAATGCATCTGATGGCACTACCAAATATATGCAACTAATATTTTCCCCCTATTATTATGTAACTAAAAGGAAAACTACAGGTTGTTTTAATAAGACTAAGTGTGTAACATGCTAGGACTAGTTTAACTAATTAGTTGAAATACATTCTTTAATTCTATCTTTTAGTTCCAAATCATGTCTCCAAGAAAGCATCAAGCGACATAAAAATCATGTAGATGGTACGATGTTCAATGATTCCAAATTCTTGTCACGTTAGTTACATGAGTAAAAATTATTGGTGGAATAAAAATTCTTGCCCCCAAAAAAACAAGTTATTATGCATGGTATTCACACCTAAGCAGTAAACACTTTACATAAAATATTATAGTATCATTTATTCATACATTTATACCTCAATCTTTGAGTAAGGAGTCCTTCTCCTTATAAATTATGCAACCTTTTCGATGAGGATATATCAATTATGCCAAGTTAGGTTTATCTCCTTCACGTGCATCCCACATGCTCGAATATGCCCGTTCTATGCACACACGGGATGGACCTGGTTCATGCCTGGGCTTCCTTCTAATTGCAATAATATAATTTAGTGTAAACGTTCCTCCTCTAGCTAGTCTATCTGGCTATGTACGCAACAGTAGTTTTTCCTTCTCATATGACATATGATTAAATGCTTGAATAAAAAAGACTCCGCTACGAGTTTTTGATCAAAGTTTGGTAAATTACATTTTCGGTACAAGTTCGAAGGGGAAAAAGGGCATCTTCATGAATTATATATATATCATTTAATCATGGAAAAAAGGGTTTAAAAGAAATACTTAGGATTAAAGAGGGAAGAAAGCACCCCAAACAATGAAAAGCCGCATGGGATCGATGTTACACAATGGATAGCACCCTTCAATATATTAGCAGCTGAGTATAAATATAATATGTACATTCGGACAGATGTTGACTAGAAAATACCAATCTATAACCATAATTTTCCCCTAGAATTCTGCATTTTCTCGGATTATACATCCTCACACATCAATACTATTACATCGTAAAAACAGTCTGAAAAAAAAAGGAGTGGGGAGTGAGAGATAGAGAGTACCAACAATAGATGCCAATTGACATGGCTTAGTTCCTCAAACATCTACATGACAATTCTGTACTAACTGATACTTCATAGCTGATCCAACTGCAATACTATTTCCAATCATCTTACCCCCAACTCCAACATAAGCTGGACAATTTACATACAAATGATACTTCCCTGAAATAAATGTCCCAACTTTCCATCTAATTCTCCCATCCACTTTGATGTTAATCAACACAGTTCCAGCCATCTGATCTTGGTTAAGACTTTCACTAAGGAATGGCGCAACGGGGACTGAGTTTCCATACACAAAAGGAGACCATATTGTGACATCTTTATGTCCCTGATAAGTTGAGGGTAGCAATGTAGGAAGGGTAATTTGTTGGCCACGGTAAGTTGCATAGACATCGAGTTTGTCATAGTAAATTCCAATTTTGTTATTTGGGTTGCGAGAGGCGAGGGTAATTTGGATGTTGGTGGTGAGGAAAATATTAGGGGAGGAGACGTTGAAAGCATAGATAGTGGCATCATGGAGGATGAAACTTGGCTTTGTTGGCCTAAGGATTAGCCAAATGAGAAAGATAATGAAGAGGACTAAGATAACGAAGCCAAATACGGCCACGAATAGGCGGCGGTGCAGCTTGTGCCGCTCCTCGTCGTGGTGGCCGCAGTCCTTGGCCGACATGTTGGCGGCAATGGCAGCGGAAGTGGTGGTGAGGGATTGGTGTTTAGGCTGAAATTTTAGTCCTTTGGGAGAGTTTTTCTAAGGCGAGCTAAGTTGGTTAATATGGTTTGTTTTCAAGATTCTATAATGTGGTGAGAGACTCTCTTCTTAAAGAGAGTGGTCTTTTCTATTAAAAATGTTTGACATTTCTTTTTTTCATTTTTCTATTTCTGTTGGTGGTCGTTGTAGAGGTTTAGGAGACTCTAAGTAGGGTATATAGAAATCTTTCCTTTTATCAAATATGATCATGACACTATGATCAGAAAGATTTCAATATTTAGAACTCGAATCTAAGACCTTTAATTAAGAATGAAGAGATCATGAAGAAATTTTATTTTTAATTTTGTTCTTTTGGAACATGTTATACAAGTAATGGCTATCTAAAGTAAATGTGTCTAACACCATGTTTTCAAGAATAGTTTAGGGAAGTGTCTCAACGACCAATTCATGCAAATACTATGCACTAACTACTTGCAATTTGCAAAATTTAGAGGAAAATGAATGGTGGAAAATGAGTTTGGTCATGGTCATGGTATGGTGTGGTGCAAGCAACCTTATCTTTTTGGGACGTATGCTTCTACGCAAAGGCTAATTAAAGATTCAAGAATTATACCAAGGGCCCTACTTTTCATAAGTAATGACAAAATGGGATAGCAAGATTCTCAAGTCACCGACACAAATTGGCTATTGTACCCCGAACAGCTAAAACTTAAAGTTTTGGTTTCAACCTCTCCAAAAAAAGTTAGAACTTTTTATGCCAGCTATTAGTTGAGATATCAATTATGAGAAACAAGAAAATAAATAGAAAGGAGAAACTTAATTAGTCGAATCTAAAATTAGTTGTGCTGATGGTTTTATTTTAGGAAAACTATCAGTTATGTTTATTTATAAGTAGCTCATTATAAAACTTAGTCAATTCATAATATATTACTGATATTAGCCAAATATTACTAATATTAGCCAATTAGCTATTTAGAGCAAAATAATATCTAATTTTTGCTTTCTTTTTAGTGCGTGTTATTAGAATAGATTGTACATCTTAAGGACCTTGAATCTCGGTTATGGGATGATTTGTTGAAGTTTTGAGGTGGTTTGAATTGAAAATTCAAAGTAAAAACTAAACATGAAAAAAATGATATGTATATCATACTGTGTATTATCTGTGTATCACATATATATCATATTTGTATCAATTGTGTATCACATGTATATCCATGTATACCTGTGTGTGAGATACATGCGTGATACATATTTGATACGTGTGTTGCAGAAGAATTTTTTGAACTCAATTTAATTACGAATTTTGATACAAAAGAAGTCCAAATCACCTCCAATCTTTCTCAAATTTTGTATGTTGACTTATTTATATGTTTTCAATAAATTCAACTATACCCATTGTAAAAGTTCCTTTTTAGCTTAGATTTTTGGAATATTGTATAATTTTTTTTTGTTTGTATTTCATCATTTTATTTGCTATACCTCATCCATGAAATTTTTTTTCTGTCTTGCATGTAATGTTGCTAATCACACTTAAATTTATGGAAGGTGATTTTTGCATGTGATTCTTTGAGAGAAAAAACCTTATTTATTTGGTTTTTCAATTTTTATATGTACTTCGCTAGTTTTGGTAAGTCTATGACTAATGGCTAGTTTTGGTAAGTCTATGACTAATAGCTAGAGGTTGGTAAGTTGAGACTTATTTGGGAAATTTGTGTAAGTTGGGGGATTTGCATCTATACCCGCTTTTTGTGTCACGTTTTAGCTTGTGCCCGCTTTCAAAAAAAATTGCAAGCGTACCCGCTTTTTCGCATAACTACAGCATACGGGGCTGAAGTAGCAAAGACAATCACACAAAACTTCAGCATTCTAGTAGACGGACCTGAAGTAGCAAGTGTAACTGGCGAACTTCAGCTCTAGAGCTGAAGTTTTGGTTTTGTAACTGGCAAACTTCAGCTCTAGAGCTGAAGTTTTTGTTTTGTAACTGGCGAACTTTAGCTCTAGAGCTGAAGTTTTTATTTGTAACTGGCGAACTTCAGCTGTAGAGCTAAAGTTTTTCGAAATTATAAAACATATCAAGAACAACGTAATATTGTTCTAGGAGCATAAAACTCTCTAGTTTTGTCCTTCATTTTCTCTCAAAGCGCCTTTTTTTATTCAACCCATTGCTGATAAAAACGTAAAGTATAAAATATATATGAAGGAGAAAGAGAAGTGTATTAGGAATAAAGATAAGTCTGCATATTAACTTTTCTCTGTTACAGTTAAAAAAATTATTTGCTTCGACCACACCTTCATAACACAAAAAATCAAAAAGAAAGTCATTGAGGGCATTACAATTCCAATTCTCAGGTCTTTTGGAATTATGAAACAGTTTGACAGCATCACCAAAAAACATTTGGTAAGGAAGCTTTGAATTTCTTCTAATGGAACTATTGGAGGAGAAAGGGGGCTGAAGTTATTTAAAAAGTGGGTACAAGTTAAAAGTTTTAAAAAAAATAGGTATAGGTTAAATAGAGGCGACCAAATAGGGCGCCCCGTGCAATTTTTACGTGTAAGTTTCCCTTTATTTTATGGTATAAAAACCAATATGATTAAATTTGGTAGTATAACATTTTACAGATTTACCCTCTTGGAATCATACCCTATATTGAAGGTACATACCTATACTTGTCTTGTGCATGTGCCTATTTCCCATAGAAGCTAGGGATCTTTTTTGGGATAACGCCAGGAAATACTACCATCTAGAATTCCATTTTCATTTCAAGCTTGGTTTTTGCCCTAGTGGCCAAAGCGCAAGAGCACATATGAACTAACTTGCGACCAATATTAGGTACTAGGGGCATGCATATGCTGCACAAAACCAACTATTTCTTTCTGCACTATACTGGACTTGAACCATAGTTGTAATCTCTTACCAAGGAAATTTCTTCTTTCACATTATCCTTCTTAAATAACCCAAGGAAGATGTTCATTCGTATAATGAAACATAAGCCATGTAAAGCCAAGACATAATTTTTTTATCAGAATATAAATTTGAAGCCAAGACATAACATGGTTCCAGCAAACTAGCAAATATAAACGAAGGTAAACTTGAACCATAAAACAGAAAAAGGTAGAAAACACGCATATACTAACAGATATTCTTGTCATCCCTGACAGATGCACAGAAGAAGGTAGGAAACGTGGGGGAAAAAAGAGAGAGAGAAGAAGAAGAAGAAGAAGATTCATTTATTAGCAACTTTCATCAATAAAGAAGATTGATCCTTCAAGAGGTTTCACACCTTCTATGTGAATTAACTTCACTTCAATTAAACGCACTAACAACTGGAAAAACATGTACATAAACTTTTTCTTTTGAAGATTGCTTCAATTCCCATTAAGGTACAGCATGTTAAATTTTCATGCATCCATCCTAATACTAGCGACCACGTTATTCACTGGGGATAGTAGTCACAGATGTAAATTCTCATCAAGGCATGTACCAGAGATCATGACTTATCCACACTTGTTATGCCCATAGCCACAGGTTTACAATAAGACACTAACTTTCCAACTTACCATACAATAAGACACTAACTTTCCAACTTACCATACATACACACATAGCAAGAGAGACATCTCCTCTGTATTGTTATATTTTCAGCTCAGAGATTTTTTACAAGTCGAAGCCATTTGCAACAATCAAGGTTTCGGGTTCTCGGGACCAAGTCACCATGAACTACAGATCTCATAGATGAAGAGGAACAAGAGTGTCTTTAAGATTCTCTTTAATTTTATTAACTTAGCTCAAAAGTGCCTATCGCATGAAATAACACGAACCAAAGAGGCTATCCAAAAGAACTCACGTCGATAGTCCTTTACAACTCCTTTCCCCTAGTGTTCTCCTTCTATTTCACCCAGTACCAGCTACCTGCTATCTCCTATTAGATCAAGCACTACTTACGAGGTAATTTCACCCACCAAGGCTTAGGCAGATGAGTATAAATCACCTAGTGTTTCGGTATTTCTTGCCTTTGCTGGGATTCAACCTAAGAGTTCTCCTTCTACTCGCTATTTGCCCAGAACCACAACATCTTAAGAGTTGGTCACCCTTTATCTGTCAAAACAATGCCGCACAACCGAATTGGCGCTGCATCACACAAAGGTCACAATTTCTGTACTCAAAGGTTGTATCAACTAGTAGACATGAAAGCAGAAGCTAAGAAAATCAATATAGATATTTCCTAGAACTGTTTCATATCACTTCAAAACTGAAATATCAGACAAGTAATATAACTTGGACGATACAGGATAAAGAAAAAGAACTTTTACTTGATCAGGTCAAAAAAATGTAAAGACTATACCTTATAATGATTTAAACCAATTCTTCAAGAAAATAGATAACATACCGCCCCGAAGTTATTGAAGCACTAGGAACCGCAAATAAGTTATTTTGGTCACACCAAAAGTCTAACATTGCAAAATTAATGGGCAACAAAATTTGAAATCCTAAATGACATGAAAGGGCTTCCCTACACCTTGATTAATTCGAGATTACTCATCTACAGGTACACAAAATAACCTTCTTTTCCTAAGACAACATATCAAATTTACAGACCTTTTTTACTTGCTTAGCTATGCTGTAAATCATAAGACGAATAAACAGTTTTTTTAAAAAAAAACAGGAATAATTTAATAATAAAACACATTCTTTACATCTTAAATCGTAGCCTCAGAACAACAAGAACAAGTCAACAACAATCTGTACACACCAATGTGAATAAATAAACAATCAAGATCAGTTTTTTAATTTAATATCAGATCAAAATAACACACTTGCTCTACATCCTAAATTAGCCTCAAAACAACAATAAATACAACCTAAAGATCTGCAATACACCAAATATGAACAAATAAACAATAAAGATCAGTTTTTTTTCCTTCTTTTTTATGTATCAGATCAAAATAACGTGATTCAATTAGCATTATCCTCACTACATTGCTTATACAATTAAACTAAGAAGTCATCTAGTGGGGTCAAACAAAATTCAATTAACATTCACCTCAGAGCAAATCAAAATCCCACCATCAAAGCCCAACCCGACACTGCCTCGGGCCTCCAAGTAAATTCCCAGAAGACTTATTTGCTCCAATCCCAACAGACAAAACCCCACAATAAACCCTCAAATACCTCCTCCTTGCTCTCCAAG